CCCCCCCGGGGGGGACGGGAGGATTCTTGCTTGGGAAGCCGATGGCTGTTTACAGGACGGTACATCGGACAGGTACCGCGTGATTGAAAATCTGCCTGCTGCGGCTGCTGACTTTAGACTTAGCAAGCCTGACCCAGGGTGAAAGATTTAAAATAAAAAAGATGTATTTAGTGATTTAGAAGACTGGGGGGGCTAGACGAACACCTGTGGTCAGGGATGATCTGGATTGTACTTGCCACAGCATAGAGGCTGGGCCTGATGACTTCTTCCTTCCAGCCCTGTATTTCTTTAATCTTTTTTTTGGGGGGGGGGGGGGGGTTACTTTTTTTTCCACTTTCCTGAGACTAGGTGATTCCTTTGGGAAATGTGTGGAAGAACTGTCTTCATTTTACAGACTCTCAGAAATCTGTGTCTTCTGCTAGAAAGTGTACTGTCTATTGTACAAAGAGTGGGTAGGGCTGCTAGATGGCTTCAACAAAAAACACTTCACAATCTACATTGCATCTTATTTAGAAAATACCGTATGTTTATATTTTCTTAACTTGTTTCCTGAACAGAAAGCTCAAATACTGGACTGTCCAGTTCAAAACCAGACACCTGGCAACCCTAAGAGTGGGCTGTGCCCACGAAAGCATGTGATACCATCTACATGTTTTGTTAGTCTATAAAGTGCTACCAGACAATTTGTTGTTTTTTAAGTTTGTGTAATATACCTTTTTTGTTTTTACAGTTCACAAATAAGAAAACTCTTTCAAGAAATCAAGGTTGTTCAGCATGGGACAGTCCCATGACAAGCAAGGAGCTTGACCAACTTTTCGCTATTCATAATCCAGGCTTTTCCAGAAGAAGAAAAGATAAAGATGGACACTCTTTTTATATGAAAAAAATCTCTGTAACCACTGGCCAAACGATGTGCCAAAATCAGAAATCTTAACAAAAATGGGAGTATTTTTATTTTTTGTGACTTACAGTTTAATCTTAAGCCTTATACAAGGGCACAGTCTGTTCACATGTGAACCAGTTACTGTTCCCAGATGTGCAGGAATGACTTACAATATGACATTTTTTCCAAATATGATGGGACATTATGACCAGGACACTGCAGCTGTCCAAATGGAGGTGAGTTACCCTATTCTGTATTGTAATGTAATGGAACAATTTGAAATGAATGATTTGTAAACAAGTTAAATATTTCTGATATTCTGAAAAACTTGGAAGGTAGGTAATGTAAAAACTGGCTGCCCAATTGGAAGAGTTGAAATTGCTCCAGCTTCCTGGATGGAAAGAAAGGGTGTATTATAGCTGTAGGCTGTCCTATTTAGATCCTTGCAAGCCTCTGTGTGCAAGGAAAGTGGCTTAGGAAGGAATGGACATGCCAGTAGGAGACAATAGCAAACACCACTATGATTATTCTGGGCTTATCAGTGTCACAGACCTGCCCATAGACAAAAGAGGCAGTGTTCTCAGAACTTGGACCAACTCCCTGGTATGCTTAAATTATGCCCAGTGGCAAGTAGAACCTTGACTCTCCAGAATCCAAAGAGTACAAAAATGACTAAGTTCCCTTTTGGACTCCTCCTGAGCACATCTGTCCTCATCCTTACTTCACTTTCTTAAAAAGAACAATGCATTGGTTTTTGACAATTGACAAGAGAAGCATTTTTTACCTCCTCTCCCCCCCAAACAAATTGCTTCTGAAAACTTAGCTTTTCTAGAAAGTTACCATCTGCAGAAAAATATTGTCAGCTGTTACTGTGGTAGGAATGGTCTTGTGACCTGTAAAACAAGTTTTAAACCTGTTTTTAATAATGATTTAATAGGTAGGAGGGAGGGGGAACCTAATACAAGGCTTGAAATACTTACTAGACAGGTACTATCTAGAAGCTAATCAAAATATAGAGGTGGCAGAGGGGCACCAGAAGAAAGTCAAGCGCTTTTGATGTGAGCTTTGGACCCAATAAGGGAGGCTCAGAAAAGAATAGAATAGCAGTGACCAATTCTTCAACGGCTACCAGAGGGGTTGAGTAACTGAGGAGCAAGTTGGGAAGAAAAGAGTCTTTTGGTAGTAGATTTCAGGCCATGCCCATCCTAGCTTGTGATCAATTTCACCCTTATGTGGACCATTTGGGCAGCAGTGAAATTGAAAACCATGCCAATTCAGTATTGGTGCTAGGCGCTGGAGCTTTTCTCAGGGAATGGAGACTCCATTGAAAACCATGCCAATTCAGTATTGGTGCTAGGCACTGGAGCTTTTCTCAGGGATAATGAATGCCGGAAGAAGAATAGAGCAGAAGAGCCCTATGAAACTAACCAGAGTTGTTTAATGTTAATTTTGCTCCTGCTTGGGACAGCTCTGTAGTGGCAGAAGGATTGGAGTTTGTGCATAAGTTAATGTTTGGATGGTTATCCTTGCCACCATAAAGAGTAGAAACCAATTATTTGTAAATGGAAGCTTATATTCTGAAGGAATTTGTCTTAATTCCCACCCCCCTTGCAATGAAAATGATCCGTACAATTGTTCGTAGCTGTTGGTATTTTTTTTTCAAGATCCAGAAAGCAGAAACATTTAAGACACTGGGCTGAAATAATGTGATTTGGGATCTAATTCTGACTTTGTCACATACCTCTTCTGTGCGGACTTTGCACAAGTTTGTGCATGGAGGGGACCCTTGATATGCAGCTTTATGTGCAGAAAGAGGGTCTGGCCTCCCTTATTTGCACAATTTTTTGTTTTTCTCGTTGTCTTTGACTTTCTGGAGGCCTCCAGACAAGATCTCTCTTGGCAGTCCAGTGGGGTGGCTTAAGGTTGCATATCCTCTTCTCTGGCTTTGTGGTATAGATGATAGCCTGTAGCTCTATGTTACTTTGTCTATATAGTCCACCTTCATTTTCCCCTGGGCATTCACAAAGAGAGAATAAGCTCTTTTGTATAACCTCACTGGAGCCAAGGAAATATGGAGGGGGATCAGAGCTAGTGTAGAGGCACAGGTTGCTCTTCTTTTCCCCATCCTCTTATCTTCTCCCTCCACAGGGTGATGTGGGGAATATTCCATGGTGGAATTATTATTTTTAAAGCCTTCATTGCTATGAGATGATGTGAGGGTGCTCTGCCTTAGCATACCATCTGTAAATAGGCATGCCACTGCTCTACCTTGCAGCACAATTGTGTGGCTAACTCCATTAATATAGGTGGGGTATTTGTATATGGTGATGGGTGACATAGCAAAGTTTATTACTAAATTGATACAGAATTGACACCAAAAGTTCCCCCTCCCCTGTTTCTTAAATCACAATGGAAACATGCTAAACTGCTATCCTCTTTAGGGTAGGGACTGTTGTTACAATAGAACCTCAGCTACAAACCTCCACTTCCAAGATGTAAGCTTTTGAAAAGTTCAGAATTACTAACAACTGAACATTGACTTAATGTAGCTTTGAAACTTTATGATGCAGAAAAAATGCCGCTTTCCTCTTGTGTTAGTAGTTTATGTTTGATGTACTGTATTTGTGAGATTTGTTTTTGTCTCCCTTGCTTGATCCAAATAAGGGGTGTGGTAGACTGGTAAGCTTGTAATTCTGCTCATAACTGAGGTTCTGTTGGCTGATGTGCTTTACAGTAGACCTAAATACAACAACAAATACAGTTTTCTGTTAGTATCATAAGTGAGACCACTTTTCAGGAGGCCAACAAGAAGAACAAACAAGAGAGGGACTCTATTCCGAGAAGCAGTGACTCTGAAAAGAATTTGAGAGAGGGACTCTATTCTGAGAAGCAGTGACTCTGAAAAGAATTTAGAGGGTGTGGTAGTTAATCAACTGACTCTGAGCTTCCAGTGGAACTCTATGGTAAAAATGTTAATGGGGGTCTGGAGTGTATAAACAAGGTAAGATCAGGGAAGTTACATTATCAGTGTGTCTGCTTGAGCATTTGCTGCTGGAATATTGTGACTTAAGTTGGGTGTCCTCTAGTCAGAAGTATGTTGACTAACTGTAGAGGGTTTAAAGCCTCAAGGAGGTTACAGGATTGAAAAATGTCAGTTAAAGACTCGAACTCCAACTGGTTATTTTAACAAATAAGGTGAAAGAATATAGGGATATAAAATCATGGCCAAAGGGGGCACATGCGGGGCACTGCTCCAAATTGGAGTTGGGCTGAAAGCGGTCTGCCTGCTGTGGATAGTTATTTAATTTAAGTTTCCAGGCATGTTTTAACAAAGACAAACTATTGACTGTAGGTGAGTACTTAACACACAGAGATCACACTATCTCAATGGTTCCCAACCTTTTCTATACTAGGGACTGGCAAACCTATTCACAAACTTTTGGCAGACTGGCAACATTTTATTTGCATATTCATTATGGAAACGAGTATTCAGATATGCAAATAAAATGTTACTGGTCTGCCAAGTTTGTGAATAGGTTTGCCAGTCCCTGGTATAAGAAGTCTTGGTCCCAGTACCAGTCCTAACCCCAAGAGACCCTCACCCCTCCATTCCCCCCCCCCCCAGCACCGGCCACTGACCCCAGAGTCCCCTGCACCCAACCTCCCAGTGCCAGCCTCTCGCCCTCAGTCCCCCAGTGCCAGCCCCATGCCCTAAACATCTCAGTTGCAATGTCCTGTTTCCAGAGGCCCCTGTCCTAGTCCCCAATATTAGTCCTGTCCACAGTGCCAGCCCTGCCCCTAGGCCCCTCTCATTACAAGCTCAACCCCCCAAACTCCCCCAGTGCCAGCTCCCCATCCTGGATGTCAGTGCCCCTCAGTTTCCTTCTCCCCTCCCCCCCCCCCCCGGCGTGCCTGTCTCCTTTCCCTCCCCTAGCCCTGCTGCTGCCTGCCAGCTGAGCACAGAGCGCTTCCCTGCTTGGAGCCGTCAGCTCGCCTCACTGCGGTCCCGGCCCCAGCCACAGCACATCTGTTCGGCCACTTGCCCTCCTGCTGCGTGGGGAACCCCAGCGGGTGGGCTCATTAGCATCTGGGGGCATGGCCCAGCAGACATGGGTTTGTGGCCTGCTGCTGGTCCACAGAGCTGCGGTTAACCACTGGTCCATCTGACCTGTTTTCTTCCTCAAAGGAAATTTGCATAGCATCTTCAAAAGATGACCATAGGAGTTTAAATTAATAATTTTGTTAGATATTAAAAATAATAGACTCCAAGACATTGAATTTTTTTTTGTCTATTACAACACTCAGTGACCCACTTGAACCCCTTTCCCAGCTTTTTGTCACCCTTAAATCCTTTCCAGTCATAGGAGGAAGCAAATTGCTTTATTTTTGAATTGTCTTGAAATGTGTTTAGCACAAATACAATCTATTCCATCTTCTATTTAATTGTAGCACTGAGTACATTTCCCATACCTGACGAACAGCTCTTTGTAAGACAGAAAGCTTGTGTCTCAACAGAAGTTGGTCCAACAAAAGATATTACCTCAATCACATTTATTTCTAAAAGTGATGTTTGCAATTTCAGACTATCAGCACACAGACCTTGATAAAAGGGAGTTAAGAGAAGGAAAAACAAGACTCATCTATGAGCAGGAAGAATTGATTTACATATATCTTAACTTGCCAGCAAGTAAGCAGTGATTCTCAAACTGTCAGAACCCTAAAGTGTCTCAGACCCCATTTTAATTGGGGTTGCCAGGGTTGTCTTTAGACTGGCAGGTGCATGGCGTTGAGGCAGAAGTCAAAGGGGTTCAGCCTTGGGTGGAGGGGCACTGGTTACTGGGCCCCTGCCTAGTGCTGAAGCTCTTATGGTTCAACATTGGCATCCTCCTGCCTTTGAGTGGTGGGACTCAGGCTTTGCCCTTACCACCTTGGATGTTAGGACTTAGGGAAACTGGGGGTGGGGAGGGTGTGGCTTAAGCTTCCTTCCCCCTTCTAGGAGAGGTAGTAATTTTCAGAAAGGAGTGACTGCAATCAAGTCTATAACGCATGAAATTAGGAATGTATAGATAGATCTCTTAATGCATCTACTATGAATATTAGCAGTAGCCTAAACTGTTTTTCAGTAATTGTGTGACCTTGAGAAACTCAAGATTTAGGGCTTGTCTAGACAGGGAAATTGACCTTCAGTTATAGCAGACTAGTTTATTCCATCTTTACATTATATAGTCAGAATAAA